TGACTTCTTCGAATTCTAACCTCGCTCCCCGCCAACTCCCCTCCCCATCAATCTGCCGATCTATATCTTGTGGTTCAAATTAGCCCATATATAACATGTAATTTGGCGCCGGGAGCCTTACCCAGAACCGCTTCATAAATGGCGGCATCCACCACTACAGGCACAGCAGGCAATGTTACATTCTGGAAAAGGCATAATGTTAATTATTCTGCCACAGGATTGTGCTGTGTGGTCTACTTACTTCCATACCCACAGCAAGGCGTTGCGCGTGATTTGTCTGCGCACCACTGCATAGTTGTTAATTTGTCTGGTCCAGTATATGTTTTAAACTCAAAAAAGCTTACGAAAAATATATTTGGATTGCAGCAGTAACTCTTGCCTCTGGCTACTTTAGTACCCAGCCCACTCAATAAAGCAGGGCTGAAGGCTGGTGATGCAAGAACTAGCAATGGAGACAAAAGTATGATTAGGATTTTCATCGTTAATAGTCAGTCTCATCAGTTAGCAGGCTTCGAAGTTTTTCTTTTAGAGAACAGGAAGGGGGAACCCCTTTATAAGTTTTTCAGTTGAATGATAATACGGTGGATTATCTCAATATCATGTGGAAATTCAATTAGAGCAGCGGATATTAATAGCTACGAGTTTCCAAATCCGGCATTTTGCTTAGTAGGTGAGAAGCTTCGACTGCAACTACCAAAGAGTCAACGAAATGAAAATATTTCGCGCGAAACTGTGAAATAATTCGAAACAGTGAATAACATTATTTGTAACGTGATATACGGAGTACATAGGCATCTATCAAAGCCCTTTCATATTCTCCGCGCAATTCACCTAGTCGAGTATTAGTCAGCCGGATATTTATTGCTCACGTGATAGTTAGTCTGCCCTGACTAATTGACGTTTTAGGCGCGGGCGCTAACTAAATTTTGCGCAAGCGCCGAAGCGCACCCGGAATACAACTTCCTATTCTCAAGGAAAGCCATAATTTGGAGGACCAAGGCATGAGTCTGCCAGTTAGGGACACGAGAAGACACAACATTTTCATCATGCAGTTCAGTGACTGTCCCATGACGCCAATGAGAGTTCGTGGAAAAAAGCGACATCGTAAAGATGTTAGCCAGGGCACTACGGAAAAACGCCCAAGGCAAACTTCAACAAGAGTCAGCACCAAGTATACCCATTATTCACATGTACACTCAGAAGGTACAATCATTAAACCAAAGCTCTGGACGCAGAGTGCCGCCCCTTCAAGATTTTCCTTACAATCACTGCCTATGGAAATCCTGCAATACATATTTTTCGACTGCCTGGAAATAAATCTACTCCGTGTGTTTCCGCAACTTGCGTGTGCGATGTCCAACAAGCGCATATATTCCTGTATAACTATGCTTGCCATCTGGGAAGAACCAAGTCCAATCTATCATACGCTTCAATCAATGGATGAACGGACAGGGGCTTGCTTGGAACGTACAGAGGGAAAAATACTGAAAGCGTTCCGTCCAGTTGGGTATCGATATCTATCCACAATAGAAAAGGCGAGGCTACAATCCCAAATTCTCAACTGTCGGTGGGCGACTCTTGAACTTATCAGCTCTTGTGTTGTTAAGTGTGCCGGGCTGGGGCAACTTCTAGAAACTCATGATGACAACCCGCAGATGCAGGAGCCTGATTTGATTCGCATTTTAAATTCACGAGAAAACAATTTATTGAGGTCCTATTTACAGATTGCCAGCGTTAGAAACAACCGCAGTCTATGGTGGTCCTTGAACTTTCATGTTAACGGAAATTTCGATCCTGTGATATTTCGAAACGTTGCGTGCGTCTTTTGCATTCCGGAAAAAGCAATAGATAAGAGGCCATGGTCGTCCCGAAAGGTGGAGTTGTTCAAGTTACTTCGCCTCTTACTCTATCAAGGAACCAGCCCAGCTCCCATTCAGCCATATTCCCGAGAAGTGCTCCATGCAGGTGTGCATCAAGCTATTGTTGAAGATAATCCGAGCATGGTAGAACGGCTTCTTGAATTAGATGAGTATTGTGTTAGTTCCGAGGCGTTCTCGTTCAACGGTAGACCGAAGAATGCCGGCTACGATATCCCATCCGAACATTTCCTTACTGCCATTCGCCATTCCACAACTCTGGATATGATGAAAACGTTAGTTCGTGCAAGCGCAGAGTCACTTCCGTTTGACAATTCAGAAATTACTGAATGGGCGCTTGAATATGAGAAGTCATCTTCTCCATTTTGCGAATGGCTCTTAGAGCTTATGCTTCAGCTTCCTTACCAGAGGAGCCACTCCTCGAAACAGATGTTTATCTGTGGTATGCTCAACTTGGCCGGCTTTAATTGGAGCCTGCCACCGGTGGGCGCGGGGCGGCTCCGTTATGTGACAAATGACCCTGCTTATAGGCCGTACGTCGTAGCATGGTCGGAGGAGCCATATCCGTGGCCTGCAGACCTGTTTAGCTACACGGACAAGGCTCCCATAGATCTTAGCGTCTTGCAACACTCAAAGTCATGAAATTACATTGGTTCTACTACATTCGCGGTCGCGTAACCCTTATTCATAATACTAAAGTATATTTTAGGGAATCCAGTGGCTCCTTTTGTTCTCAGATGGTGACCCGTTGGATGCGTTTCTTAACGCGAAGTCTAATACATTTTCATTCAAGTTTTCCAACAGAGTTACGATCCGGTACAGGAATATTTTTCCATTAACGTCATGATAGATGCATCATCTCGGGGAATGCTATCCTTTCTCTTATCAAATAATAGCTGCAAAAAAGGATCTTTGTTTGGCTCCGCATGCCTGGCAGCTACCCTGAAATGATTATGGCTCACTGGCCAAGGGTAGGGATACCTGTATTGTTTGCCACATATATGTAAGCTCAGCAAGCATCTAAAAACATCGAGTTCGCGATCCTCGATGACTTTTCTCAACACTGCTTTTGACCTATCGGGAGGCCAACCACCGTCGATATAGGCATCTGACGAGAGGAGGGTAAGGAGTTCTAGTTTGTCTTCCGTCCAAGGAGGTGTGAGAAGTCGATCTGGCATTCTGCATGGCTCTGCTGGATAAGGAGGAGCACAGGGAAGTCGAAATATATCGATTTCTTGAAACACAGGATTCAAATCTCGAATTTGGAATGCACCGAAACCGAACCATATTGCAATCTTGCATGGTTGGTCATTTTCCAGGCTATGCGCGCGTATCACCAAGTCCCCTTTTCCGCGTTTTCCGACAGGCGTAGGATCGAATCTGTTTATACTTTGCCAATATTGATCCAAGTTTGAGAGAATATCTTGGTCTTCGTCTGGGGATATCACAAAATGAGAGCGCTTCTCTCTGATAACATGCTCGACATATTCTCTCTGGCATTTTCGAAGCAACGAAGCCGTGAGCCACCGGCACTTAAGAATCTCGGTTTGGATCTTTGCTCTCTCAAGGTGATTAAAGTAAAAGAAATCGAGGGGGAGGAAATGGTGAGATCCATAGATATTATCGAATCTTGATGAGCGATTGCAGCTGCTGAATGCAAGACGGATAAGCCAGGTGTATAATATCGACGATGATAGGGTGTGAGCAATGCGTATTGAAGCGCGAGGAAAGTTGAATTCAAGGCATTGGAAGAAGATCTTATGCACCAGCTCGGCGGGCAACGACTCTATGGGTGACCTTCGCCTGGATTTTATTTCCAGACGACTTGGGATATTCATTGATATCAGCTGCCTTGTCGAATTTGATCAGTCCCGTGTGTATCTCGGATTGGAAGAAAAGGGGCTCGAAGTTAGGTTTTATGTTTTCTCCTTAACTACTTATCCTCCTCCCAGATTGGCCGGAATAAAAGTTATCGACGCTGTTCCTGTGCCGTCTTTGCGCCTTTTAAGTGAGAAAAGTTCTCTGCAGCATGCGGATTCGGCACGGAGACCAAACGTTGGGGGGTGTTTCGATACCAGCTGGCCATTTATATATAGCAATACCACCGCATTAACAGTGCATGCTTTGAATTCCCACTCTAGGCTCCATTGATGAACACGAGAAATGCACTATGCGAGTAGGTAGTGATTGCATTAGTTCGCTGGAGTCGGGAGAAAAATCGCGAGACTGGATAGGAAGAAAAGCCATTGAGGAGGCAAATATCGATGTAATTAGTTAATAGGAGGCCGCGCTGCTCTAGCACGTCCATGGCTTCGTGCTAACTTGTTGCCGAAGACAGACACAACATGGGGTATGGAGCATTATCCCAACTCGGCATATTAATCAGGGGAAAAAGCAAAGCAGCTGCCATGCTTCATCCCTGGTATTCACTAGTTATCTATTGACACACTGGCATCTTGTGTCCGGGTCCTTGTGGGCGGAGTGCTGCAACAATGCCGGCGCTCTTCTCTGCCACTGGATATCCCGGCCGGTAGACATGTGAGTATCTCCTGTATCAGACACCGAATAACAACAACAGACCCAATCCGGAGGCCCGGAGGACCCGGAGCCAATTGACACTGCCTGTTCATCCGTCCTGCGATGCCCAATGTTGCATCTGAGCCTGGCTGTCGGGTTGTTTGCTTCTGGCCGTGCAGAAACCCCCTCATTTTTTTTTTGGCCCTAGATGTCAGCATGAGGATGACAAGGGAGGTTATGCGATGCGGCCATGTAGGTTACGGAGCAGTTGGTTGGCTGCAAATCGTTTTATCTTCGACTGGCTAGTTCGACTTGGTTGGCTACATTGATAGATTTTATGAACAGCTGCGAGGATGTTAACTAATGCAGCCTCATAAGTCCAGAAGTAAGATAACCAGACATTGCCAGTTGCACAAACGGGAAAACGAATGTAAAGAGGAACATGCTTCTATTTGAAACTCTCGGTTCTATACAGCTGTGGTTGATAGTCCTCTCCAGACAGCAGTAGGATGCTGACGAAAAGGCGTTTCAGTCCACAGAATACCAAAAATACATAGAAAATCACGGATACAAGCTGTGGCAACGGCTTGGTAGCAGTGTGCGGTTTTACATGACAGCCAAGTCGCCGTATTTCTCCTGTTCAGCGTAAAGGTATCAGTAATCATATATAACACACTCGTAAATGCGGTACCCCGACCGATATGATGTGAGAAGGACGTGATAAGGGGACTACTGACCTTGTAGCCTGGTGGCATCCAGATACCCTTGGATACGAGCTGAGCGGTCTTGCGGTCGATTTCTGGGGCAGCAGCGGCAACATCGTCCTAAATCATAGCGGTCATACCATTAGTATCGGCAATTTATGTACTTAGTCATGCGAGGCTTCGCCAATCTGCTCAGCGACCGTGGAATAATTTCCAATGTGGAATCGATTCCGGCCACAATTGGAAATTCGAGGTGGGCGAAATTGATGACAGGCACACTTGGTACAAATGCAACAAGATTGGGATATAGGAAGAACATACGACTGTGAGGTCCTCGAATGGTCTGGCGGACTCGATGTTGTCCAAGGTCTGTGACAGAGACTCCAATTCCATCTCGACCTTGCCCTTGGTCTCCTCGGCGTTCTTGACGGCCTGAGCCTCAAAGGCTTCGATGGCCTTCAACTGTCGGTTGACATCGTAGGTGACTGGCTTGAAGTTCTTGAAGTGCTGCTCGATCTCATCAACGATGGCCTGGTTCTTCAACACCTTGCGGTAGTGGGCGAAGTCGACAGTCTGGGGCGCTTCGGACAGGACCTGAACCTTGCGGCGGGCGTCGTCGTTACGCTTCTTGAAGGCCTGGAGAGAGGCAGCGGTTTGGCCGCGAAGTCCAAGGCTCTGGGCTACTTTGGCCCAATCGAGTTTGAGAGCAGCGCTCCGCTGATAAACTGCGTGTTAGCCGGCTATATCGACTCAATGGAGAGAATAACGGTCGAGAACAGGTGAATCATCTCGGGAGACGGGAGGGTGACGTACTGTAGCTGCCATTGTGACCGTGGATGTGGTGTGTCTGGATGCTGTCGAGACGTGCAGTTTCAACTTCGTCGTTCTTTTCTCCTGCTTGTTCCGATGAAGTTCAGATGTTTGGCAAAAGTTGGTCACGTGGAAGATCACATGACAGGTTGGGGCCCTGGGGTCGCTTGCGGGCGGCAGGGAGGATTTGATATTCGCGACGACGAGGTCGATGCTGACAGTTATACGGGGTAAAGATGTGCTAGGACTATTTGTAACTGTGGGAATAGACAGTCTGAGGGTTAAAGGTGCACCATTAGGGTGGTATCGCTACTGGCAGCAGTCTTTGATAATAGTAGATAGGCGACTGATACTAGCAGGAGGAACTGATTTCTCTAGTTTATATCAGATAAATAACTAGTTATATTCTACTCATTATTAAGATGGTGTGGAGAGCAAATAGACCATATATATGGGAGTGCTTGGTGTTGTTTCATCATAGAGATTTGGGAGAAATGAGATACGAGAGCATTCATTGATCCATTATCTAGAAGTAGAATTTTGTGCGCATCAAGTTTTTATCATATTTATGATCACAGCATTTTGATATCGCACGCATCAGGTGGGGCGTAAGAGGCAAGATACAAAGGTTGGTCCAACATCATTCAAAGATGTGTAGGTACAATGGCAGGGTCATTATATGCTCAGTGCCATGATGGAGTTGACGATATCGTTGTCGTTCTCTTTGAGGGCCTTGACAGCCTTCTTTCTGGAGACGTTTGCTTGGGCCATGACAAGCTCGATATCCTTGGCCTCGAGGCCAGTGTCGTCAACCTCCTCGCCATCGTCCTCGTCCTCCTCTTCCTTCTTCTCGGTCTCGGCAGCCTTGCCCTTTCCGAGGTCTATAGCTTCCTGACCAGCAGCTTCACCAGCAGCGGCGTTGGCACTCTCGCTGGCGGCAAGCTGTTGAGCAGCGGAAGCCTGAGCCTGGGAGTTGAGGTCCTCGATCTTAGCCTCACCAAATATGCTAAAAGTAGAATCTAGTTAGCCCTATACTCCGAGTCTGTGATAACGGATGACAGCCGGAGCTGCCTTCACCAGGCAAATATTAATGGCATAAGCTTACATCCAGGTGTTGCTGGTGGGGGAGCGGTAGACATCAGGCTGGTTGATAACGAAGAGGATCTAGAGATACGTCAGCATTAGGACATCCACAAATTGTACAACTGCTCGTGGTTTGCCGTATCCTTACGTTCTTTGGTCGGCGAAGGGTAACTCGAGTAATTCCAGGAACATGCTTCAGTCCGAGCTTGCCAATTGCTTTTCTGGCCTTCTTCTCGTTGCGGGAGAGAACGGTAACGCCGGAGCCACCAGGAATGTTGAGCTCCTCGGCGCCTTCATCACCGGCCTCGGAGTCGGAGCTCTCCTCGACAGTGGCCTTGACATCCTCCTCGGGGAGCTCTTCTACTCGTGGGTTGGCCATGGTTGCTGTAATACCGGAGGGGGTGATTATGTGTGGAAGAACAGGCGTAAACTCTAGAAATCGCACATAAGGCCCATTAGTATTACTTCCTCTGCCTAGCTGCAAATTATTTGAGGCCAATAGAGACAGGAACAGCCACCAATTCTACTTACCTGGGCGCTGGCGCTGGGATTCAAATGTTGTGCTGGTTCGGTGGTGGTTGTTGGTATAGCTGCGAGCCGCTGTGGTGTGTGGTCTCGCCCAATCCCGTTAGCGAGGTTTTTTTTTATAGCACACAAATCAGATAAATATCACAACAATATCCTACAACAGCACGCTATTTTATAGGATAAACATTTACAGTCACTATTAACTATCAATAGAATTTATATTCTACCTAGAATGAAGTTATCGGTTTTTAGAGCTGGTATCAGTAAGTAATATCATAGATCAGGGCTTTTTCGTCGGGGTACCAATGTGCGGCACTACCCCAGCCTCTTGAAATGGTGGAAACTTAGATAAAGAGGGCACTTTAACCCCGTAAAAGCCTGGATAGAGAGAGGTATTGATCTGAGCATATGGAATTTTTTATTACATATAATACCACAGTCAATAACAGAGTCAAAAGGAAGTTCTTTTTTGCTTTGATTTCTGAAAGTCGTAAAACCATGGTAGTAGAAGCCTGTTGTGAATCCAGTATTATTCCATCTAATCGGGATAAAGTGGTTCGCAGATTAAAACCTGTCCTCAATTCCTCAGGTTGAAACTGATTACAGTTGAACATTCCTTCTTGAATAAGGGGAGGGAGACTCTATGCCTTTTTTTATCTCAAGCACAAGAAGCCCTCCCTTAATTCAATGCGCCATCCTCCGAACATCGTCAACCCTTAATTCCTCACGAAGCAGCGCGGACTTTAGATAGAGATTTTTGGACAGCAAAGCGAGCCTATAATTGTAGAAAGAGCAGTTAGCAATTGAGTCAAGCCTTCATAAAATAGCTTGCATCCCCGTATGTTCGACATGCATAGTCATGTCTAGCCTGGAAAAGTAAAAGACGAACCTGTTTTCTCAGTCTCATGACCTTGAACCGCTCGAAGTCAGTCAAGTTGCGTCGTCGGTCTTGTTGTTCCTTCTTCTTAGCATAGCCAGTCTCAGCCCATTTGGCGTCGATGCCGGACTTCTCCCAAGCCTTCCTCATGGCTCCAGTTCTGGCACGTCGGGGGAGTTTGTCGAGGCAGAGAGATGTGAGGGTGACATGGGCGAGAGGGATGGATTGGCGTGGGACGGCCTTCTCTTCATCTCCGGAAGGACCATCAACCAAGACCTATATTTTTGAGTATCCCATTAGATAACCTGATTTCTCCATCTCGCGCATAAAAACAGACACCGGTCGGAGGGTCAAAAAGGATAAAAACGTACGCGCTTGTGATCTATGATCTCAGAGATAGCAGCAAGCTTGTCTGCATATGGGCCTCTTCGGATCAGCACGACTCTGCCGACCTCGACAAGTTTCCATGTCGAGGGCTTAATATCAATCTCTTGAGACATGGCGAAGGAGTCCTGCAAGCAGTTCGAACAGATTAGCCGGGGAACCTAGGACAGGCGCGCAGAGGGAGGAGATGCTCACTGTCCACCGAGTGAGTGCTATAGAGGGTGGATGGGGGTTGTCGTTATTGTCGAGTTGAACGCTGTCTTCTGGTATCGCGAATTTCAATGTGTCCAGCGTGCTTTTGCCCACAAAAAAAGATGCCTCGCTTAGCCATCATCGGTTTAGTGGATTTTGCACCGTTTAGGTTTAGCGCGATTTTGCTGCTTCTTACATAAAGATGTTTTTTCTTTTCAACATCAACAACTTTTTCTTCTTCTTCTCCTCGCCATCAGGATCCTCGTCAAGAGAGGAAAACTGGAAACACCGCTATGTTACTAACCATGGAGAGTAAGTCGAACTCATTCTTTCCCCTCCCTGCTTCCTGATATGATGTGGTAATTTGCGGTTGATCCGGCTTTTGTGAAGCTCCCGCCAGAGCATTCTCAAGCAACTGTCGGGATGATATTTAATTTCTTACATATTCTGATTCTTATTTCGTTCAATTGACACTGCTACGATTCTTACCTTGCATGGAATAATGAGCTAACAGTTTGGTCAGGATACTAGGATGTAACTTTGTGCATCGTCTAGCTAGCAGCCAGCGCTTCCACCCACTGGGCCTTTTCTGAAGGTAATTAATTAATCGCACGACCCTCCGACTCCCTCCTTGGTTTCCTGATGAACATCTTCGCACAAGATAGTAGTTGATGCCTGCGGGCGGTGATATCACTCTTTTCTACCAAGATCGCTGAAAACCATCAAAGTTACTTCTTGACTTTAGCATCCCACTCATGCATTGTTCAGCGATGCTAACAAGCCAAGAGAATCTTTAGGTATTTACCTCAGCTTAGCACGCCTGTTCGATACACAAACCATTATGCGAGATATTATACGATGTTAGATATTCTAGCTCACAATAATTTGCAATAAGACACATTCTTTTGGATACACCTGTTTTTTAACTTGGTAAATCGTCCAATAAAGCTCACACTGACAACGTGCCAGCCGAAGAGTATTGGTTATCGAGACATTCCAGCATGTCGATTTGGGTTGATGTCTGAGATTACCTTCACCTTAAGGAGTCCAACTACATTAAAGACGCCAATCTCTTTACCATTGATCGGCCATCTTCGTCCTACGGCTTTGAGAACACTCACATGAGGCTTCAGTACTCCGTCTCCTGGACCTCACCAAGATCTGCGGTATAGCGTTCCCAATAAAGGAATGTGTCTCGTGCTAGTATATAACAATATTGATGCTCTCTTTACTCCTGCAATAGCTCTGCTCTAGCTTTATATTGCAATCTTTTCATTTCTTGGTATAGATACTCCAGGCTATCAATAGTTTACCTACTAGATAGAAGCATGACTGGTCAGGTTGGGTAACCTTCTCGCCATTTTGACATATAATATCATCGTCAGTGTCGTCTGATATGTTCAATTCCTCGTCTATTATTCAGTAAGTTAGATGATAAAACAAAACAGATATATGGCAACACAAGCTGCTTTCTCTCCTTGTTCATTATCTGGTTCAGAGTCGCTACTGCAACCGAGGAAGCAACACCATAAGATTAGTTAGAAAATAATATGTCCGTCGTGACTTGAGAGGCAAACCACTTTTGCAGGAAGAGAAAAGAAGTCAGGCGGGAGCTTCCAGTCAATCTCGGACCATGAAACGTTGGGCTCATGGAGGCTTCTGGGCCAGTGAATCGTGATGGGCATACCTACATGCGGGAAGACGGAAGATGGAAGGCGGATACTATCTTGTACAGCTACACGCGGGGTAGCATCTCAAAGCCCACAGAAGAAGGAAAATTCCCTCGTGCATCCTTGACCTATCCAGTCATTTTGCAGTATTATTGCTTCTTTACATCTCCTTCTCATGTTGTTGTTAATTCTCTGGCTTCCTGATATTTTTGATGCTCTGATGACTAATGCAAAATGATCTGATAAGATTGCCGATTCTGCTAACCACAAGCTTACTAGCG